GTGTGTGTGTGTGTGTGAATTGTAACCCACATTTACCTCCTTTTTCTGTATAATCATACAATATTTATCCAGATGACCTCTCACACTTCTCTTTCTCAGGTGCGTTTCATCACTAAGATCTGGCACCCTAATATCAGTTCTGTGACAGGAGCAATATGTCTGGACATTTTAAAAGACCAGTGGTGAGTGAGACATATCTGAACCTGCTGTACTCGATGTTCCAGTGTGTCTCCCCCCCGCTGTTTCAAACACAAGTAAAGACACCCTCCACTTACCTGCCCCAACTTTTAATCTTTCTCACCCAGGGCAGCTGCTATGACCCTGCGGACGGTGCTGCTGTCTCTACAGGCTCTCCTAGCTGCAGCAGAACCAGATGATCCACAGGATGCAGTAGTAGCAAACCAGGTTAGAGAGGTGTTTGTGTGTGTTTTGACCTGATGATACGTAAACACAAGAGTACAACAAGAGAATTGCGTTTTGGTAACACAGTCTGTCTCTCTCTCTGCCTTCACCTTTTGTAGAATGTTTTTGTATTTAACCGTACTCACTGAGTTTTTCACTCATCCTCAGTATAAGCAGAACCCAGAAATGTTCAAACAGACCGCAAGGCTGTGGTCTCACGTCTACGCAGGCGCTCCTGTCTCCAGTCCCGACTACACGCGCAAAATAGACAAACTCTGTGCTATGGGCTTTGATAAGGTCAGTGTTTTTGTTGGAACATAATGTTTATATATTGAACACGCATGCATGGTGTTACAAGAGAGGTTGTGCTTCTCAAATATAAATATTTAGATTTTTTCCCATAGTGTTCTGTAATAGTAAGGTGAAAATCTTTGTGTTTGGGACTGTTGGTTGGATGAAACTAGACTAATTAAGATGTCAACATGGGAACTTACGATTGTTATTGTTTTAGTGTTTTCTGACATTTCATAGGTTAAACAGAAAATAAGCGGTAGATAAATCAATGTTGAAAATCGTGTTAGCAGGAGTTGTTAAAGGATTTACTCTTAACAAGGCACAATTCATTCAAACAGAATTAAGAATAAGCTTAGAGGCTAATCTTTCAGTTGTTATTAACTTGCCAATGATAAACAGATTGCAATAAGTTTTCCATTTCCCCCTCGCATACAGAATGCAGTAATAGCGGCCTTGTCTTCAAAATCTTGGGATGTGGAAACGGCGACAGAGCTGCTCCTCAGCAACTGAAACCCAGCCAGGTGCGAGGATCCCCGAACTCCCTTCATCATAGCATCAGCTCCTCCCCGGCACCATTCAACCATTACCATCGCCCCATTCACCACAGCAGTCTGAGCCTTCTTTTGTAACAAGTTTGTTTGCTACAAACTCAACACCGGTAGCACCGCAGTCGCCAATATGCACACCACCCCGTTGCCTGTCTGACCCCATCTGTCCATTATGCCGAGTCTCTTCTGCCACTAACACAAAATGTGTATCCGTGTTATAAGCCACTAAAAACTCATACATCCTGTCTTCCATGCCTTTTTTAGTCATATTGGCTCTGAAACTTCATTTTTTCACTAATTGTTGCTCTTTAATATTGCAAAGAATTGAATAACTGCCATTGCCTAGTGGATTTTCCAGGGTAAAATGAAAAGGGAATCCTCCATACTGCTCTCACAGTACATTACCATTTTACCCCTTTAAGCAACCGTTCAGACCTTATGTCAGATTATTCTCTTATGTGGACATTTAATGCTGTAAAGGTCAAGCTGGACTTTAGTAACTTGACTGGATAGTGTTCTGCAGGAGCAGTGTAATGGATTTTTCATGAACAGTTTATCATAGATGCTTCAATCATCTGCAAAGGTTTGAATGTACATGGTTTTTTTTTTTTTCAGTCTGTAGCATTAGAAAAATCACACAGACATCCTCAAACATCTGCACACAGAAGGAAAAACAGTTATCTGTAAATAGATGTGTGTACATTTGAAAATACAATCGGGATATACTTTTTTTCTTACATGGCATTGTAAAACTAATTATTTTAAATATAAACTATGCCTAGTTTACAATTATATGAAGAGGATATGTTTTTATGCTTTTGTGATCCATGAGAAATCCCTCTGAATATGCTGGTGTCCTTTTTTGTTTTCGAGTGTTTTTTTTTTTTTAGGGGTGGCAAAGCCAAAATCCTGTCCCTAATGGCATAGGAGGTGACAGCCAGCTCAGGCCCCTGAAGGTCATTACATGCCACCTTTTCTGCTACACCACAATCCAACCTTGTGTCTTTTATTGTCCTTGCATGTTCTATGCTGCCTTTATCTTATTTGGCCAAATGATGTGGTGACAGGGTGTTCGATTTTAAACATCCCCTCAGACTTGTGGAACTCGCAAAGGCTCTTGTGAATCTTTGGAAAGAGACGCAAGAACTTCTGCTCGGCAAAACAACTTACAGCGTACCCAGTTTGGCGTGATATCCGTAGGGAACCAAAGCTTTTTCTGTTGCTGGAAAATGTTCTCCTCTGCTCTGAAAAGATGCGTCTGGCACCAACAGGAGAGCACACCTCGAGAAGAAACGCACGGTTCTGAACGTCATTAACAGTTTGAGTTTGCAATGCTGTGGTTTTTGTTTTTCACTCACTTCAGAACATTTGGTTTCGACCAATACGCGTTCTATTCTCAGCCATGGATTAATGATCCGCTCACCCTCTCAGTCCTGGTGTCGATCATTAAGAGGGAGAGCTTTATCACTGATCAAATCCCGCAGTACTCAATCAAAACTTTGGCCATATATAAAGAGGTATGTAGGCGACATCCTATATTCCCCAAACATGCTTTACTACGCAGCCAAATAAAATGCTCATCGAGGTAGGTTTTGAATGATGTCTTATGAGTAGTAAAAGAGGCTGGATCTCCTCTGTTATCCCTTGAAGCAGATAGCAGGCCCGCACAGTGTTTTTTTGGTTTGAGGTACATGGACTGTGAACAAATGCTTAGCATATAGAGAAGTGGGGCGTCAATGAATCCTCACATATGGCCTTTTTTTTTTTTGTGTGCGTTTTTGGAAACTTTCACTTGCCCTACAGCTCAGTCCCCTACCAACACAGTGGCATATTATAGGACATGGAGTTATTGTGCACCCTTCTCCACTGACAGAACAGTTTCCAGCCAGAGCCAAAAAATTTAAAATTAAAGTTTATAGTCAGAGGTAGGACGCACACATTATCTCCGTTACTTGTAAATAGTCAGGTTCTTGATAAAGAGCTGTATCGTTATCACTAGAGTGCACCATTGATGGCTGGATCTATATTTTGTAAGAAAAATAAAGGACAAAAAAATTAAGAGGCCCCCTTCTCCCTGGTGTTCTCACTATGTACAATATTGCACGATGACGAAGCATAAAAAAAGGGGCTGTTGCATCTCAGTTTCTCCATCTGGATTGAGACTTATTTTCTTCTTGTTTCCTTGGAAGCAAGCATCAGCAGTATAAAAAGCATGGTTATTTATTGTGACAGTGTCATGTTTCTTTGATTAAAAAAAAAGTGGAAAATCAAGTTCCCTTTGTTGTTTTGTTTTTAAACTGCACTTCATTAACACTGATCAAGACAAATGCACTGCATGGTAACATCTAAAAGCATTTATTTTCTGGAAAAAAAAATTAAATATGATCATGAGAATAGGCAAACTACATCAAAAAGTAAGTTGTCATTAACACAACCTGCAAGGTTTTCCACTCACTCAATGCTTAAAGCAGGCATTACCTGACAAAATAACAGACAAAAGTACAAAAAATATATAATTGTAAAAGATGAACAAACACCTGAACACATACTTGTATAGTAATATATCATTTATGCATTCCAAAGTGAAGTACTTTCTCATACTTCAGCAGTAAAAAACAGAACAAAAAAGGTAATTCCAACCCAGCTCCATCTCAGAGCTCGGAGCACAGAATCCAGAACTGTTTGACAGCTTAAATTTGTCCATTGACACACTGGAAATAAATCAAAAAGGCCTTTAAGATCATTGCAGTTGGCAGTTAAGCCAACAAGAGTTTCTATCTGGCCTTGTTGACGTTATAACCGAGCTAAAGCTTCTACACATACCAAAGTTAGAAACCTAAACATACCAAAGTTTATAAAATTTAGGTGCAGGTACATCTGTTAAATGCACAAATCTTATGCTATGATGTGCCCATATTTTATCCGTTTGCTGCAAGTTTTTAAGTATTTTGGATATTCAAAATGTTTAACTGAAAAGTTGGACATGGGTATTTACAAAATACGACTGTGTTAAGTAAAACTGGTGAGCTTGAAAAATAAAAAATATGGTGACACACAAAAGGAGGAAGAGGTCAGGACACATACAGTAGGATTTTTCCCAGGGAATTTAATAAGCAACAATCATAACCAGATTAAAACGTTTGTAAAATGTCCATCCTGTTTTTTTTTTCTTAAAAATGGCTCCACAAAAGAAGCAAGAGCAACAAACAAAAGGAAAAAAATAACATGTTTTTTTGAGTAAGACCTACATACAATGAGCTTCAAATCAAGACTATAAGGTATTTAAAACCTTCTAGGATGTCAGTGGTGTGTGTTTGCATGTGTGTGTACACGTGTTTTTTAAGAAAGGTCCATAATGTGTCCAGGAAAGCTTTAGAGTCAGAGGAGCGGTGTGCGGTTGGGAAGGTGTGAGGAAGAGTCTGGCCCATTTCTCTACAGTCTTGATTTCATCTTCACCGGCTTCCTCTTTACCTGAAAGACATCAATGTTTAGACTCAGGTTAGAAGAACAAAGATGATTGGGAAACTTTAATCTTAAGGTTTTTTTCAATGAAAAAAGTACTGTTGAAGACGTGTGTAGAAACAAAAATACAGGAGAAACATAAACCAATAATCATGTCTGTTACTACAATAACGCTAAGAATAACCAGTATACAATATATCGCAAGTAAATTACTGCAAATACAAACTATTATATTCTATGTTTGAGTGTTGTGTGCAATGGCTGATGCAAACCACCTTGTATGAAAGAAACCATCTGAGATGCTTCTTGTATCTATAAAACCCTGAGTGAACTCCTGTCGGCCCTTCATATTTTTCATATCTCTTTCAGGTGGACTCCAGCGATGTGGTATTGCACTTCCATTAAATTGGGGAACTGAAATATCCTTACTTTTAGTGCCCGTTTACACCTATTAACGTGTCTTGATCCGATCACAAGTGGACAGACTAAATACAAGTGTAAACGACCTCTGAGGCGCATTCTGATATGACCACTTTCTGAGGTGGTCTGGGACACATTTGATATCCTTTGTAGCGTAAACGCTAAGTGCACACAAAACGCTGTATATTCGGTTCACTGTAATGTGAATTACGTGCTTAGGCTCTTTCACCTGCCAAGATAAGCAGCAGATGTTAAAACACTGTTTCAATTGATTTGACAAAATAACCACTGACTCCCTTAAAAAAATAGCACAATTTTGAGAATTACTGAGTGAGGAGAAACTTTAGAAACCAATTATTTGGGCCTTCTTGTAAATTTGGGGAACATCACACAGGATTTCTTCTAGACGGCGGTACAACCTCCTCTGTCACCCACTGTGAGTGACTCGCAGCCCGGCAGTAGGAGACACGCTTTGTGATGGGAGCAGGATGCACACTTTTACTTTCTCTGGCATTAATGCCTCTCTTTGTCATCGGGGATGTGAAAACATCAGATTTCCACACAATCGAAAAAGCAGAAGTGTGCGTACTGCTGATAAAGTTCAATTATAAAATACCATAGTGCACCAGCGCCTCTCCTGCAGGGTTGATGACAGCGCAGGTAAAATCAACGGACTAGTGGGGCGCTGAACTGAAAAAAATGTCAGTAATAATGAACAGTGACTGACAAAAGTTTGAGTAAAGTGCAGCCCTCTAGTGTTCATTTGCATATAGAGCGGGGAAGTGAGATCAGACCACAAGTGGTCACTTGAAACGCATGTGGAGACACACTCTCTGGCACTCTAATGCCAGGTGTAAACTGACATTTAAAGCTGTCCACTTGGGATCAGACCACCCAAGACGCACGTTAATACCAGGTGTAAACTTAGTTAGTCAGACTGAACAGTACTGTCTGTGACGGGTAAACTGAACTTGATGTGTTACAGTGTTGTTGTGCACCTATAAACACAGTTTAAAGGAACAGTTCAACATTTTGGGAAATACTTACTTGCTTTCTTTCAGAGTGTTAGATGAGAGGATCGATACCACCCTCATTGTTGTATTACGTATAATGTTGTATTCCCACCGAAGGCCAAGCGAATATTCGCCCTTTAATCTGGTTTATGATGGTGGTTTGAGCCCAAAATAAACAGATTTTGCTGTGATTTAATCAAAAGGATGCCTTTTCTCTTTTACTTCTCTCCAACAATCTCTTTTCTGGTCTTTGTATACATATGTATTATAAAGCTCTGGGTGCACACAGACAGATAAAAGATTGGGGCTCAAGCAGCGGTCTGTGGGCAAGCAGCAGCTCCGTCTCTCCACTCAGTATTTTCAACTGGTCTGAAATCGCGAATGAGTTTCGCATGTTCACGTCATTTGCGTCACCTGGTGCAAATTTACGCCCATTCGTGTCTTTGTATTGACTTTGTATATGATCTAGTCGCGCAAATAAAAGAGAGGGGTATCAATTTTCCTATCTAACTGAAAGAAAGAAAATGAGCGTATTTCCAAAAAACCCTTCAACAGACAAGCTCATATAGCTCATATCAAATATCTGGGATTCGCTGTGTTTAGAGACCTACTGGACTAAACCAACTCACTGCCAGCCCGCCTGCCTCGTCTCCACTGTTGGGCTCTCCCTGCCTGCCAGAAGGAATTCCCCTCCTTTTAGACTTGGTATCTCCCTGGCGGTATCTCTCTCTGTCTTTTCCACCACAGATAACAACCTCTGGGCTGGACTGCAGCTCTATCTCAGTGTCGCCCTCACTGCCCAACAGGAGGGCGACCTTCCCTATAGCTCTCCCTGTCCCCTCTGCAGACTCCTCCTTTCTCACTTTTTCATTCTCTCTGCCCACAAATGGCCACCTGAAGACAAAAAAGTTGACATCTGAAGGATGATGGATTTCTGTGCAATCTCAGAATGAGGGTAAATTCATCAGCATCAAGCATTTTCTTGTCAATTTACTTTGTGTTTGTTTATCTGCCAAAGCTACTAGAAGCTAACCTACTAGAGAGACACTCTTTCCTTGACTCCGCTCTCCATTCTTACCTCTGCAAGTCAATCTGTCTCTTTGTCCCTTCATCGTTCTGCTGTTGCTGTTTTGACATCTTAATGTTGAGTGACTCTACCGATGGGTTGGAGTTGGGGTCAGCTGCCCTCTTCCTGCCTCTGCCGGCTCCACCCCCCGTTGGTGCTGCGGCTCCCTCTTTATCAGCCCCCGCAGGAGCAGCAGTAGCCGTTTTCGGTGGACGGCCACGTCGTTTGACGGGCGATGCGTCTGTCTCGCCGTCGGGGGTCGCATTCTGACTTGGCTCCTCCTAAAAGAGAGAGACACAGTTGAGGAAAGCTCAGTCAAGGTAACTGCTCAACGTCCAGTTGACGTCTGGTTGTCCTGTCTGAGCTTACCTTTTTTCCCTCGTCATTCTTGATGATTGGGTTCTCGTTGTTTTCCTGCGCCCGGCTCTCTGATGACTCAGTGGTGGCATTGCTGTTATTAGAGGACACATTAAAAAAATAAAATAAAAATCACTCAGTTGAAGAAAGCATTATTTGTGATAATGTATGTTCAAGCGAGTGTGTGTCTGTACCTGTTCTTGTTGATGGTTGAGGAGCTCAATGGGGAAGAGTTGGTGCTGGTGTTACTGGCTGTGTCTGAGGCTGTGGTGGTCTTGGTGAAGATCCTCCTTCCTGGTACTGTCAGAGGCTTGTTCACAGCTCCCAACACTGGAGCTGGTTTAGGCTGCATGAAGAAAGGCGGTAGAGTTGTAGGCAAAAGCATCTGATGGTTAAGATCTCTAACGATTATGTTATGTGTAAAAAATAATCAGTGCTTAAGTTTCAGAACATCACTCAGTTCTCTGTTCGCCTGCATTATATTGAGAATACAGATATTTCTATACAGAGGTTTCACCCTCTCAGTTGAACATCCACATTGTTATGAATTTCACTTTCTCAGTGAAGGCCAAAAATGATTAATGTCATCGTGTATTCTGCCTCTCCATCGCTCCTTTAAGTTAAACTACCCTTGTTACAATTTTAAGCATTATTAACCTATAATGTGGATTGCTCAGTAAAACACAGCGTGGTACTCCTATTTACAGTGTTCATGAGAGCGTCACATGTTTCGCATTTACCTTTCCAGTGAGCAGCATTTGTCTCATCTCTGTCAACAGATACTCTTTATCATTTTTGAAGTCCTGTTGAAAGAAACCACAATTGAAAACTTTGATTAGCACAAACTGCTAAATCCCGAAGGTCATGATTTGGGCTTTAATCTTAAAGAGGTGTGCTCATATCGATCATATCTTTGAAGTGTTCAGTGTTGTATTTATGTT